GAATGTACTCAATTTTTGATAAAATCCACTGGATTCAAGCAATTCTTCTTTTCATTAAACTGGCCTGTAGGGGCGAATGAGCAGAGGTGGGACAACTCAGTTTTGCTCCCATTGAAAAACTCTCCTCCTGTGCGGTGTACGGTTGTTGGAACAGTCTTAATCGGGGACACTCAATTCTAAGGGAGTACTACAAAAAGAGTCTTCAATTTGAGCATTTTTGGAAAGAAAAACAGAAGAAATGTATGTGTTTTCATTGGGGTGGCCTGCAGGGGGCGCTTATCTGGGAAAGCCTTGATCCACCTCGCCCGCCTCATTCGAGCGATTTTTTCAAAGTGTCCTCCTTTATATGAGACCACAGTTGGAACACGGAAGAAACTCTGGTCTTTCTCTCTATTTGTGCGGTTGCTACAAGCGTACACCGCACAAACAGCTGGCATTTTGACAGCGCTTCTTCTTCTACTATATCTCTGTGTATAAACCCGACAGACTGCACCGCCAGGATACGTCACGTTCTGTCCTACATTTGTTATTCACACCACTGCCCTGACGTCATACAGTATGAAACCCAAGAATTACCTAATATTTTATGATTTTTTTGGCAGTGTATCCACTATACCGGGTTGGTTGGCACTCTCGCCGCTGGTAGTTTTGCTCGCAGACAATAAAAGAAGGCAATTTTGTGAAACAGTCCTCCTTTATTATAAATAGATCTTTTGTATAAAAAACTGGCATGCTTCATTTGGAACCATTTCACAACCGAAAAAAGCGGACCACGAGAAGAGTCAGCCAAACACAGCGGGCTCGTCTCAAATGCAGGTCGACGAAACGGACGACATGAGACAAGAAAGATTCACGATCACAACGTTAGCTACGAGTAAATTCATGACACACACACGTCTTTTTTTTGTTTAAATATCGAAATCGCCGTAGTTCCTAGTTTCAAGTCTTCTCAGCGTTTGGATCCTTCGTTGATTTGCGCGGTGCAGTCTGTAAACATCAAGACGTCTTCAACGTGTGATCGGAGCCACTGTCGGACGATTTCAGTGTTTTTTTTTTTTTACTATCCCATAGACATTGGTCCGGATGGTGCTTTCAGATGTTGTGGTTGGCGTAGCTCACGTAGGTCATCTTAGGCGGAGGCACTGCAAGAAAACAAAACAAAAAGTACTACGAAATTAGTCATTATCATGGAATTTGTCAAGTGTCAAGTGTATTTGCCCCAATCAAGTGTGATCTCATGGCGACATAACGGCCGGTATATGGAGCTGGGATTGACTACACAGCAAATAATGATCAAATATGAGGTAATAATTGGTTGAAATTAGTGGTTATTATCTTATTTTGAGTACATTGTACGTATTTAAACCATAGACTGTATATATTAACGGACGTAGTTACGCCTCTCTCCGCCGTTCTTACTAATGGGCCAAATATTGAGCTTTCAAGTAAGAAGATGCTATATGTTAGCATTGGCTAATTCTTATTCTGGGTCCACCCCCATCGGCCCGGGGTGGTACTGCAGCATGTCAGTGCACGACATTTTAGCCACTTTTGAGCCAGAACCCGCCCCCACTGATTCAAACAAGATTTGCCAATGAGACGAAGCCTTTTAGTTTTATTCAAAGAACTGTTGCTTTATTATTTTGTCATTCCAAGGGAGACATTTCTTGTATCTTTTAAAAACAAGATAATTTTGTTTTGTCTCATTGGCAATTTTTTTTAAGGCAGTCAGAGTGTGTCCAAATTTTTGCTATTTGTGACTTATATTTCATCACTTTTTGCAGTGTATTTAGGGGTCTCTTGATCTGTAGAAGAAGGTCTGCTGCTAAGGTCTTCTCTCTCTCTCCACCTTGTCTCCTTCATGTCTCCTTAGGTGGAAGTATGATTTATTTTGTGTGTATTGTGTGACTATGTTTAGTGTCTGTAAATGTCCTCTTTCATATCTATCTGGTTTGGGCTTCGCATATGAAGCAAAAACTATATTTTTGGTTGTAACATTAAGCAGTTGGGCAGTTTTGCTCTTTGTTCCACTTGAGAATTGGTGTCAAAGCAGTCCTCAAAGCGCCGGAGTATTTGTGGGTTTTCATTTTAACCAAGCAGGAGCCAGCACCAGACCCCACCTATGTCCACAAGTGAGTCCAGTGGAGGCATGAGGACTTATTCTAGAGAGGAACAAAGAGAAAAACTGTCTGACCGCTTGATTTCTACATTGAAAATCTAGGCCCTTCTCTGAAACCAGTTTAAGATTGCCAACATGCTTTAGAGTGCAGTGAAATTCCAAATATTCCTGACAGACTTTCACCACATTCATGTTTTTTGAAAGTAAGAATATTGCTTTGTCTCGTGTCTGCAACTTTGATTGTATTTTGTCTGTAAAAGAAAGCATATTATTGACCATATGACGATGTTTCGTCCAATGAGGAAGCAGTAAGAGCGAGAATGTGCGGGTCCAACCGTTGCTAGCTTCGGGAAAAAGTCTCTCTTGCCGCTTTCATGCGACCTCGGAAACTGGGATATTTTCAAGAGAGAACCAAGTGCTCTTTGCCAAAATGTAATGCACTTCTTGGCATTACATTTCTTGGAAAAGATCGCTTCGTTCTTTCTTCATTTGAGAACAAACTTCCTCCTGAAGGTCTTCACATGTCACTCCTGCTGATCAGAAGCTGTGCACCTGTTCTCCTGACTTGTGAGAGCTATAATTGGGTTAAGATTCCAACTATTCAATTCAATTACATTTATTTGCGTATAGCCCTAAATCACAACAGCTGGCGACATCTCGGAAGACTTTACAAAGCTGTCGAATAAAAACAAACACATAGGAGCCGAGCCGTTGGTCCAAAGGGAGCGAGATGACCAATATGTATAAATGTTAGTCATCTTCTTAAAAAACCTGGATTATGACTGTCCATAGACCCTTCTGAATCGCCAAGGAACGACAAACAAAAAAAATTGTGGGAAAAGGTGAGAAATTATCCATATTGAGGAAGGGGTCGAATCCCGGGAATCAAAGACAAAGACTTTCTGCAAATTTACTGGAAACTTTCCTGAAAATGTTTTGTCCCTTTGCAACTCTAGTCACAACATTATTTAATGATGAGGTGTTTAACAGCTTAACCTCTTGCTTCATGCTGGTTTTCATACAACTGAATCTATTTTAACCATAAACATGTGTGCTGCTGCAAATATTAACGGACGTAGTGACGCTTGTCCCCGTCGTTGAAACTTATGTGTGATCAGTTTCCAAAATGGCCACGGTGAGAACTTCCCGCAGGAAAATGGTGAAAAAACATGTGTGCGCATGCGTTGGCCGGCACACACGCCATTCATTTAACGAGTGCATTGACAACGCCACAGCGGCTAAACTAGGCTGGTCCAAAAAAACCACTCCCCTCAGCATTGACACGTATCTGGAACGTTGAGCCAAGAGCCAACTTTTGGACCAAGCTGTTTTAGAGAAGAAAAAGGAGCCATAAGAATTCAATGGATAATTCTGTTTCCGGGTACACCACCACCGGCAAGGAGTCCGATTACAAGCATTTGTGGGGGCGGATCCCAGCTCAAAAGTGGCCAAAATGACGTGCGCTGACATGCTGCAATACCACCCCGGGCCGATGGGGGTGGACCCGGAATAAGAATTAGCCAATGCTAACATTTAGCATTAGCTGACCTCTCGAAAACATCTTTACAGGATGGACCAAAAGTTGGCTCTTGGCCCAAAGCTCCGTTCCACATGTGTGTCAATGCTGAGGGGGGTGAATTTTTTTGGACCAGTCTAGTTTACTCGCTGTGAATTTTTGAAGTCACTCGTTTAAATGAATGGCCGGGACCCGCCCCCATTGGTCCTATAGCTAGTATAACTCGATGGAGTCAAACTAATAAGTCCATAAACTCTGCTTCGACCACTCTAACACAACAAAAATACACTCAGTAGTCGCATCGTTATTAATATAGAAACTATAAAAATGTTGCATCTTATAGTCAGGAAATGTCGGTAACATAGTCCAAATCTTGTGTTTTTACGGTTAGGTAACCCCAGCTTGTCTGCATTATAGACGGTGAAATAAAATGAATACTCTTCTTTTCCTCTTTCCTCCACAATAGTTTAGACATGTCTTACAGTCCTGCGTTCTTTAGCGTAGACTTTTACTAAATGTGCCACTTTTGTTTCTGCTTCGGCGGTGTGTGTTTGGACTCGGCATGACACTAATGAGAGGTGTGAGGCTTCCAAACAGCTTACACTTCAAACAGCTTTGCAGCGTCAGCCCCAAACTTCAACTGTTTATTTGTCAGATTTGGATCTCACCTCAGAGCGCTCACAGCCTTAAATAAAGGCTTTTATCTGCTCCGAGAAAAGAGGGGACCGAGGCGATTAGAGATGCAGCACTGAGCAAACCTGGGAAACATCTGTAGTCTTTCAAGATTGGAAGTCACGGGGGACGAGGAGCACTTTGCATCCAGCTGTGCGTGTGTCTGTGTCCTGTTACAGCTGAGGAGGGGGCCTTGTTATTACCGTAGACTGTATATAGATGGACAATGCTAATCTGCTAGCTCAATGAAGCCTAATGAACAAGCTCCAACTCACACTAGCTCCAATTGACTTACATTGGAAATTATGCTACTCAAGCTCCTTATGGACTTGTTTTTTCATAATTGCATTTCTTGTCCTCAAACGGTTTGATTCTCTGATCTGCGTTGGCAAATTAAACGGTTGCATAACTACTGTTGTGTTTTAGGGCTATACAAGAATAAATGTATTTGAAATGAATTGGTTTAGCACTCTCTATGATCCCGTCGTTTACATTTTGTTGTAAATCCAGATATGGGCCTTAAAAAAATTTACCAATCAGGTGCCTTCATTCGAGGGGGAAACTCCAGCGTGCCTTAGCAACCGTCTTAGCAACACTGCCCCTGTTGCAGCACAAAGCTAAGGGCGCAGAGCTATGAGCGCAAAGCTAACCCACCTAGCTAACACACAAAGGTAACGCCTTGAAGGTAACGCCTCAAAGGTAACGCCTCGATGGTAACGCCTCGATGGTAACGCCTCGATGGTAACGCCTCGATGGTAACGCCTCGATGGTAACGCCTCGATGGTAACGCCTCGATGGTAACGCCTCGATGGTAACGCCTCGATGGTAACGCCTCGAAGGTAACGCCTCGAAGGTAACGCCTCGATGGTAACGCCTCGATGGTAACGCCTCGATGGTAACGCCTCGATGGTAACGCCTCGATGGTAACGCCTCGATGGTAACGCCTCGATGGTAACGCCACCAAGGTAACGCCTCGATGGTAACGCCTCGAAGGTAACGCCTCGAAGGTAACGCCTCGATGGTAACGCCTCGATGGTAACGCCTCGATGGTAACGCCTCGATGGTAACGCCTCGAAGGTAACGCCTCGAAGGTAACGCCTCGAAGGTAACGCCTCGAAGGTAGCGCCTCAAAGGTAACGCCGCGAAGGTAACGCCTCGAAGGTAACACCGCGAAGGTAACGCCGCGAAGGTAACGCCGCGAAGGTAACGCCTTGAAGGTACTGGGCCAAAGCTAATGGCTCAAAGATACTGGCCCAAAGCTAATGGCTCAAAGCTACCGGCCCGAAGCTAATGGCTCAAAGATACCGGCCCAAAGCTAATGGCTCAAAGCTACTGGCCCGAAGCTAATGGCTCAAAGCTACTGGCCCAAAGCTAATGGCCCAAAGCCAACACCGCGAGAGAAACAACATCGAAATTGGCTCCAGCTAGCTTATGATACATCAGCTTCTTCCACATTAAGACTATGGACACTAAGGTGACGTCACACTCGGTCAGTCCCGTCCTAAGATAAAGTCTATGGTCCTGTCACTCACCGCTGGCCTCCACCGCCTCGCACTCTTTCAGCTCGGTCTTCACCTCTCCGTTGGGGCGCTCCGCAGCCAGCTGGGACAGTTTGCTGGTCATGGTGGCGACGGTGACGATGGCCTTGAAGCTGCGTTTGCGTTTGGGGACGTTCTGCTCCGGGTGGAAGATGATGATGTAGACTTTGTGGATGTAGAGCATTCCCAGTGACACAGAGGCGCTCAGGCTGAGAGACACGGTCAGGGTGGCGGTCTGGATGTACATCTGAGGAGAGACGAGACGGTCAGGATTAGCGACTGTTTGTCTGACTGGGGAAGGGTTGACACACACATAACAATAACGAAGAGCTCTGGACGAAGGGAGACCGAGCCTTCTCTGTCCACGCTCCTCGGCTTTGGAACGACCTGCCCGAGCAGATAAGGCACGCTCCATCAGTAACCTCTTTTAAATCACTTCTTTGTTTTTAAAGTCAACATGTATTTCACTTTTCCACATTTAATTGTCTTTGTCTTGTCTTTCTTGTTTTCAGGTCGCTTTAATTTCCTGTTTTTCTTTTTGATGTTATATTTTTATGACTATTGTGTTTTTATTGCTTAATGGGCGGGACAGGACCTTTCTGAGTGGAGTTTGCATCTTTTTTCTGTATCCCCGTAGGTTTCCTCTTGGTGCTCCGGTTCCCCATACCACTAAAAACGTGTGGTGTGAGAGACAAATGTCCAAAAAAAAAAAGATAATTGTAAAGCGCTTTGTGACTCTGGTCTGTGAAACGCGCTATACAATAAAGATTACCTACTTACTTACTTAATGCAATGACTGTGCAGCGCTTTGTAAACACTGTTTATGAAAAGTGCAATACAAAAAAATATGTATTATTATTTATTATACATAAGGCAACTCAAGGTGTCTAACAAAACAAGAAAATAGATTCAAACAAAAGTGAAGATACAATGTTAACTAGTTTGAACTGTTTCTAATCTGGATTCAAATATTCAAACATAGTAAGAGTAGAACCTTGTCACACATTTTCAGGAAGACTGTTTCGGGTTTTACCCACATTAATCTGAAACGCTGCCTCCCTATGTTTAGTCTTGACTCTGGGCAGCAGCAGGAGGCCAGTCCCTGTGCTCTTCAATGTCCCAGCAGGAGGCCAGTCCCTTTGCTCCTCAGAGTCCCAGCAAGAGGCCAGTCCCTTTGCTCCTCAGAGTCCCAGCAAGAGGCCAGTCCCTTTGCTCCTCAGAGTCCCAGCAAGAGGCCGGCCCCTGTGCTCCTCAGTCCTGTGCTCCTCAGAGTCCCAGCAGGAGGCCGGTCCCTGTGCTCCTCAGAGTCCCAGCAGGAGGCCAGTCCCTGTGCAACTCAGAGCGCGAGTTGGTTCATATGGCACTAACATGTCGATTGGAGAGACTGCTTTAAGAGCTGATTTAAAGTCTATTCTCTGAAAGCGACTCACAGGGCTCTTTCTCACACAAAAGAGTTACGTGTTTTCTGAAGCAGCATCTTGTGGTCTCATTTGTTCACAACATTTTACTCTTTCCAGACTCCTTCAACTGGGACAAACAAAATGCATTATTTATGACACACAAAAAAGGAGACAGGTACCACAGCTTCCATTCTTAGCGTTTGGAGAACTTTACAAGACAGTAACTTTTTGTGAATGATTCAAATTCAGACCTCAGCGTAAATCCAGACTAAGTCCAAGAATCCCACGATGCAAAGAGTAAAAATGATTGCCAAAACTAGTGAAGTTTCCCCAAAATGGTTAGACCATGTTTGGGTTTGATGGTGTGATGATATTTTTGCAAAGCAGATGCGGCTTTTTCTGCACATACTGCGGTTAACCAGGCGGCACCACGTGGCCCACAGCATCTGTCACCGCACACCTGTACTCCCAGCATGCATCGCTGCCTGCTCAGCCCGTCGCCATGACAACCGCAGCCACGTCAAAAGACCGGGACCCCGACTAATAGCCGGCGTGCTGAGCGGCGGCGGGGACGCTCTGTGGGGCTCGCGCCGACAGGAAGAGGAAGTGTGGAGGAAACAGTGTGAGGACCAGGAGCCTGGAAAAGCCGAGAAATAGCAACGCAATGTTACAGGGTTGTAATGTTCAAAAGGTGATTGCTTTCAAGAGATTTTAGCAGTCTCTGTATAAAATATGGTGAAATAAAATCGTTGTATGACCAAACAGCAACAATCTGTAGCATTGAGTGAAAGAAGGAGATACATGTTAATTATAGCTGAGATAACTAACAAAACACCACGACATTGACCATAATAATCAATGGATATGTTTTTATTCGTTGTTCAAAGTTGTGTCTCTGCACGGCTAACAAGATCAACTACGGAAAAAACTAAAGGCTCAAGTTTGTAAAATCTGTCCACTGCAATTAGAAAATATATACTGGACTGGGACAATGCAAGAGTAGTAGGAACGGAAGAACATGAACACAATAGATCGGATCGAGAGGCGATTCAAATGAGGAGGCGGGATCTCAGGGACCATCAACAGAGACGAGGGGGCCTTCACCCCTTGGGACTCACTTGACCAGAGATAACAGCGTGCCAGGGGGTGTGGTCAGTCTGACTCGCAGAATTATGAAACTACTCGAACTCTCAGAGCCGTTAACTGCTCCCATTCAAACCAATGGAATTCGGAGTATTTTACAAACTATTTACCTTTACTGACTTTAAATAAGTGCTAAAACTAGTGAATATAACTTGAAATAAATGCTGACTTCTGACAGTAAACAGTGTGTTGCTATGGCAACTAGTACTGGCTCTGCTCTAAGAGTTATTGGTAGAACTCCTCACATTACTAAAATAAAAACAAAAAATTCAAGAAAAAATAATGACATAGAAAGAAACCTAACAGAAGAAGTAATGAAGTCCAAACATGTGTCGAGTAATTAGACTTTCAAAACTGAAACCCGTCAAATTGACTGCTCCGGGAGTTCTAGGGTAAAGAACATTTATGGACATTTATTGAGACCGTGTAGACTGTGGTCATCTCGCCCCCCTATGGTCTATGTGTTTGTTCTCTGATTTGTTGTTGGAGAATTGACAACTTTGTAAAGTCCTTTAAGAAGACTACTGTTGTGATTTAGGGCTGCACACAAATTCAATTGAGATATTTCCCTGTCAAAGCATAAACTATGAAAAAAATCCTTAAATATGTTTTTGAACACCCCATTTTTTGTCAGTAAAAACGCCATCAAGTGTCTCTGTGTGTTTTGATGTTTTACTTCTGTTTACGAGTGCAGGTATGACAGATTGACTGCTGGTCTGGGGACTATTGAATGGTTTTTGAGTCACAACGATCCAGGCTCTAATAGTTTACGATCCCACGGTTCTCATGGGACCCCAGAGTCAATACCGTGTCAATCCACAATCCATCTTGATCCAGCTTCCAAACAGTCATAGAGAATCGTATAAAGACACTCTCGCTCCTGCTGAAGACATTTAACCTCTCAAAATTCCATTATACCTGAAATTATTATGACATCAACTCGGTAAGCTAATCCAAAAAGAAATTCCAAATGACCCTCGCCTTCCTCTGTTGGGAGACAAAGAAAATGTAGACCAAAAATCCATTAAATTGGAATCAAAAGAGGCATACTTTGCTCGCTATGGCCGCAGGAATGAAGATAATATCATGTTGGAAAGATAGCACTCGTCCAACGCGGCAACACCGGTGGAATGAGTTTCTATCCTACTGCACCTCGGGATAAAAATATGGTTAAAGGTAAATCAGATATTTGAAAGAAAAGTTGTGGTGGGATTTTTGTGACGTTCAGTTGCCTTGTGTGTGAACTGTGCTGAACAACTAAACTTGCCTCGTTAAAAGACTTATGGGGAGTGCGGATGATTGGGATGTATTAAGAATGACAATAATCTATTAAATCTATGTATATAACAGAATAGGGCGATAGTAGCTCAGTTGGTAGAGCATTGGCCTTTGGGCCTGAAGGTCGTGGGTTCGAGCCCACCGTAAGACCTACTTCACGACTCCCACTGATGACTGCTGTCGTTGTGTCCTTGGGCATGACACTTAACCCCACTTTGCCCAAAGCCCCCACTGAAAGATCTCAGCTCCTGTGGACTCAGCACCTGCAGGAGGATCAGCGAGGGGCTGGTGCTTTGTGTACTGGGTGCAGCTCTGACTGCCACCCCCCCGACCCAGAAATGGATTAAGGGGAAGAAAATGGATGGATGGATGGATAATAGAATGTATGAATTTCAGCGTTTACAGTATATTGCTGGATTTTTATTGTTTGGTCTGTATTTGGTGTGTAACTGGTGTGTACTTTGATAAAATAAGGACTATTTTTGTTTTGTTTGTTAACCCTGATCTGTCGAGCATGTGTATTTCACTCGGGAATTTAGGCACGGACTAAAACAAATACAAAATCAGCTGAAACTTTGGCATTATGAATGTTGTTGTTGTGATGCAAATTTTGAAAAACACAAAATCAGGACCCATGCCTGTTTGAATGTGTGCGACAAATAAGAATCTTCCTTCGGTGACAAATCTCGCTCCTATAAGCACTATTCACCGATGCAATCCACCTACCGGGGTTTGGACGGAAAAGCTACAAACCCTGTCTGTTAGGTGTGATACTTATTTTTGGATCCTTTCGAAAATGAGATGCTTTGCCTCAAGGAACTTTCCCAAAAAAAAGTCAAATCCAATCTGAAATTTCATTAAAACAAATGTGCAGTGCTTATTTTTTGTTTGTGAAATTTGCAACAAAAAAAAACAGCCAATCTCAGCGAGATTTCACCAAACGAACACGCAACCCAGAGAGCCTCATTCTCCTCTCTGATTGGATAAACCTCTCGTAAATTGTAAACATAATAATAATAATAAGTTGTTTTTCCGAAAAGGTTAAATAGGATGGGTATATTTGACCTGTTATGCGAGGACATGTATAAAAAATGCATTTAAAATCAAAATTATGACATAAATGATTAAAAAAAATGTATATCCAAAAGTCTGTTTCCTCTTTTCTCTCCTCTTGCATATTTTAAACTCTGTATTTCATTCAAGCTCTGATGACGCTGCCGTTTAGTTGCGTTCTCCTTTTTGAGGCGTCTCTCGTCACGTAAGCCTGCGATTGGGATTCGGGACGCGGCGCCTGTCCCTGGGATAATTGGGAGTGTCAGCAGGTGTTGCAGGTCACACATCCATCAGAAGAGGGCGCTGTCCCATGGGGCGTTAACAATGGCAGCTGTGACCGGAGGATGGAGCGCTGCCAGACACCAGGCTTCAGCAGACCACAGTCCACCAGCTCTGAGAGAATTTGCACACTAATATTAGAGAGGATGTGAAATAGCCGCCAATAAGAGTAGGTTTAAAGCTGGGGTACTTAACTTTCAAACTGCAAAAACGGTTTGGTTCTATAGTTTTCACATTCATGTATTTTTGGGCCCTGTCACGTCTGTATATCAACATATTCAGACAGAGGCCATACCTGCATGTAAAAGCCAGATCCTGTCAGAAGTCTGAAACTAAGCAGGGCAGGGTATGGTTAGTACTGTGATGGGAGACCTCTGGAACACCTGGCGCTACATTGGGGCGGCTGTGGCTGTAATGTGCCAAACTCCTACTGTGTTTTTAGGCAAGACGCTTCTCCCACATTGCCTAGAATGAGTGTGGTGTGTGTGTGAATGGTTTGTGGTGTTCTGAGGAGCCGTTGGCACATACAGGTTGCCTCTCTTCTGTCAGTGTGCCCCTGGGCAGCTGTGGCTATAATAGCAGTTTATCACCACCGTGTATGGAGTGAAAGAATGATGACATGTCCAAACAAGCGTGATATAAAACTGATACATTACTGTTATTGTTAAAAAGTCTTAAAGAGAGAACCACCCACACTAGTTATTCAAATAGTGACTCCCAAGATGAAAAGGGTGTATGTTGGTTTAAGCTAGTGCAGTCATAGCAACGGTGCAGCCAAACCCCGGTGATCCAAGATGGCGCCCGATTCAAATGAATGTCTTGTGCTCAGTAGCTCATGGGACTTCACAGGGGCCGGGAGCTGGAAGAACTCGCCTGTATTTGGGCATCGTCTGGTCCTCCCGGTTCTGCGCAGTGGACGAGCTCCCATGATGCGTTGCGCCAAATACGCGTGTGTGGCTGTCATGCACGTGCACAGAGGGGCTCGGCTGCGCTTTGACCAATCAGAGCTGCTCCTCAGAGCAGCAGCAGAGCGGAGTCAGAGCGGGAAGGAAAGGAGCAGAGTTTGTGGCAGTAAAGTGTGGATTTAAAGAAAGCCGAAGGATTTAAGAAGAAAAAAAGTTCAGGATGACAAGGGACACAAAAATCCAATCTATATGAAAGCTGTAGGTTCTCTATCAGCTGAGGTCGAGCTGGTTTAGTTTACATTGAGTTCTATGGGACTTTTTTCTGGGTAGCCCACGTGAATTTAGTCTGCAGTACCACGGGCGCCCCCTGTACCCATGGGTGGGACAGCTGTAAGCTAGTAATACCCTATCCAGTTATTAACATAGATCCATGGGTGCAGCACATTAGCCGAGCGTTGGAGGCACAGATACAGGCGACTCGGCTCATTTTCCTCATGTCTCGCCTCGGAGCGCTCTGTCTCCCCGCCTCAGAGGTTTTAGATCAGAGGTGTCCAAACTAGTCCAGAAAGGGCCGCTGTGGCAGACTGCTTAGCTTCAATGCCGGGTCTGGAACAAAACCTGCAGCCACAGTGACCCTTTCTGGACCGGTTTGGACACCTCTGTTTTAGATCTCTCTTCACCCACATGTACTGTAGTTTGGTTTGCTACCAGCCTGTGCTACGTATTCTCCCAAGATGCATTGCCTTGTTTGTTGTGGATAGGTTTTCTTCACGTGCTGGTATTGAAACCATACTCACTATCGCCCCTCATTGTGTATTTCATTTGTACCCACGTGGGAGTACCTGTGACTGTGTGAATGAGAGCAGGAGGCACCACTGTAATTTCCTCCGGGATCAATAAAGTTTATCTTATCTTATGTTAGTGCAGACTGATTTACGCAGTTACACCTTATCCACATAATATCACACATCCATGGTATGGATAGGTCTGTGTTTTGGG